ATAATCTCATCCCTATGGGGCAACCCTGGGTCCCCTAGGTGGATTGGAGGGTGTCCTTCTGGGGGGCCCACATCCCTATAGGGTGCCCTACACACTCCTCCCCAATGCTTTTTTAATGACTCCTCATTATAAAATAATTAGAGAAAAATCCACAGTGATGGGGGTGTGGCTCCTGCCTGTCTGTCACAATAGGGAGATATGGGTTGGGGACCCCAAAAATACCCTCTGGGACCCCCCAAGTGCCCCCCAGACCCTTCTGTAGCTCCTAAACTGTGAACGGGGACCCTCTGGGACCACAATCCCAGGTCTGGGATGACATCATGGAGACATCATGGTGACATTGCCCTCCAATACTGTGTTGGCACATGTTGGTGATGATCCTGAAAAACTGGGGTAAATTTGACTATGTGACTCCTGGTGACCCCATGACCTGGGAGATTCTGCAATCGCAGATAGCCTCGTTAGGAACTGACCATGGGGAAAACAACCAGAAAATGGGTCTGTAGAATACAACACAATTTTACAGTCAGTGTCATTTTGTAGGAGGCAGGAAAAAATGGGATGCAGTCCCTGAGGGAGATTTTTTGCTTTAAAAACTAACCGGGATGTAAAGAAAAATGGGGTCATGCTGCAGGAATCCCAAAGGAACACAGAGTGTGATTAAAACCAGGATGGCAACTTGTCATCCCAACTGGGGGCACATTCAGGCTCTCATGTCCTAGCAGAGTCCTGTGAGGAATGGACACAGCTTAGAAAAGGCTCAAGAAGGAGGTGTTAGGAAAACAGAAGGGTTAGATCAAAAGAGGCAGGAATTGTAGCAGGAATTGGGCTGGACTGAAGGGGACCTCTATTTTATGTAAAATGCACAATTCCCTGTTCCTGAGGAATTCCAGGTGCACAGTCTGCTCCAGGGGCTTCCAAATAATGGGAGGACGGAAAGTGCTGGGCTACAGCTGGGAGCAGCAACAGGTAGAATTGCTGCTCCTGCCTCAGGGATAGTGGAAGAGACTCCAGGGATGGCAGGGTGTGGTCAGCCAGGGATCTCAATTCAGCCCAGCAATGCCAAATGCCTTGGTATTTAAGCAGCCAAACCCAACAGCCTCCAGCCCTGCACTGGAGGGCACCTGGCCCTGCTTGTTGTGTCTGGTAAATCAGAGGGACACATTTCTCTTTTCCTGTCTGCTGGGATTAACTCCCTGGGAAATGCTTTCTTTTACACTCCAGTCTGGCCCTACATGTGTCTGCTGGAAAATGGTAGAGGTGAAGGAGTGAATGGCCAGGTTAATTTGGGATAACAGAGCTGTGTTTGGCTGTGCTGAGAGGTGCAGGTCAGTCATTATTTGTCTGAGGATTGGTTTGAGGGTTCAGGACCCCAGGGAGCCGAGCTCTTGGTGTATTTCCAGCTCTCCCAGGGATGGATCTGATGCAGGGTTGGGTGACAGTCTTGAGCTGGGCTTACTGCAGGCACTGGCCACAGCACAGATGCAGTGGAGGACTGGGAGGATTTGGGATTTTTTGGAGTCTTCTTTGGGACTTCTTGGACATGAGGGATGGGCTGGATGGAGTGATGAGCTTATGCGCATGTCCACACAGTTGTACAGGTCACTGGGATCTGGTTAAAACTCCAGTTACCCTTGTGTTCAGGAATGCAGGGTCTGAGGGATTGTATTTCCCTGTGGGTTTCCAGGACACCAGGAATAAAGAGGAAACATGGTGCCAGACTTTGTGTTTGCTCCTATTAAAGCAGCACTGTGTTTTCACCCTGAAATTTGGGGTAGTTTTGTTTAGGATTCTTTTTCCCAATTGAATCAGGCCTTCCATGAACAGCCCATGTTGTCCTACACGACTGCTTTGGTTAAGGGTGTAGGAAGACGTTCCCCCTGGAAGTGACCAAGCAACTCATTAGGACAATGCCCTATTTGCAAATAGGGGCAAATTGCAAATGCCCTATTTGCAAACTGGGGGGCTGAGAGGGGCCAGGCAATGTTGAAACCAGTCTGGCTTCAAGCCCAAATTAACATCTTTTCGATTAATGGAAACTGGTTTTATTGAAATGTCCGAGGTGCCACATGCTTTCCCCAGCAAGAGCTCAGAGTCAGCCCTGTGCAAAGTGGTTTAGTGCCAATTTTCCTGATCCCTCAAGTGCACCAGTGCACTTGCACCCAAACATGCCCAAGGTGCCAAGTGCCGGCAGGAGGCAAATACAGAGGGTGCACAGGAGGAGTTTGCACTGAACCTGTAATCCCAGACCTGGAGCTGTGTTTTATACATCCCAGGAGATTCTGCCTCACTCAAACACTGTTTGAAGATCAGCATCCCTCCTGCTCCCTTGGACTTGTTGCTCTTCCCCAATATTATTATGATTATTGTTGTAAGTAACCCCTCCTTTTCTTCCGTAACCCTTTGCTTCCCAGAGATGGTGCTGTAGGAAAGACTCTCCAGCCTGGGGAAGGTGCTTTTGGCTCCCACCACATTCCCAGTCCCCGGGACCAGCAGGATCTGTGCTGACCCCAACAGATCAGGCAGAGGTGTCTTTCCTTCCTTACCTGCTACAGTCTGGCTTTTCAGGGGGTCTCTGGTGGTCTGAGGGAGAAGTTCATGGAGGAACCAACTGTACTCATCCCACTCTGCACTGCATGTTCTTCTCAGGTAGATGTACACTGAAGCACTTTCAGTCTGGCAGAGTCCAGAGTGTCTACTACAGCTCCTGTAGAGTAAAACAGGCCAAGGCAAAACCAGTTACTGGATTAGCCCTTCTCTTTGCAGCCTTTCAACTACACACTACACCCTGGGGCTCTGCTCTTTCCTTTTCACATAGATGGACTCTCACCTTCTCTTGCACTATTGCACATCTGACTTGCTAACCCTAAGAAGTCCAGCAGCTGAACCCATGCCTGTTCTTTCCCTGTGCAATGTGGGGTGTGTACAGTTTAAAGGCTGCAAGGGGAAAGTGACTGTGACTTAATTAGGAGTGCCTCGAAATTTGCAATTAGAAGGGGTAGGTCAGCGAAAGCTTTCTCTCTTGGCACACTTCTCTTTTTTGGGCTGTATCTGGAAACTGCTCAGTTTCGATCTAGGCTGTAAGACTGAGAGTTTGGATGGTAGGAATAGGTGAGAAGTGTCTTTGGTTTCTGGGAAAGAGTAAAATCAGCTGTGAGTTTTCCTTCTTGGACATTTGGCGTGGGCTCAGCTGCTGGACTCTTTCTGGTTAGCAAGTGAGATCTGCGAGAGTGAAGAGCAGGTGAGAGTCCATCTATGGGAAAAGGAAAGTACTTAGATATTGTCTTAGTTTAATGAGACAAAAACGTTTGCTAAGAAGGGCGAGATAGAAGAAAAAACAAGCTCCTCCTTCTGAGTAACTATAACTTCGAAATTAGAGGCTCCAGTCGAGAAGGTGCGGAAAATAACAGCTCTTTAGTAAAGAATACGCATACATATATACACAGGTAACACCACAAAACAAGCAGCAGCCCCGTACCCAAACTCCCACCGAAAACAAGGAGCCGCTTTTCGCCCCTCGGCGCAGTTCCAGCCACGGCCAGCAGGGGGCGCTGCCGGGCCCGGGAGGTGCCGGTTTTTGGGAAGGAGGGAGCGGTTCCCACTTCCAGCCGAGCCCACGCGGCAAAGGGCGGATTCAGCCGCGGCAGCCGGGCCGAGACCCCAGGGCGAGCCCCCCACAGGGACTGTCTGGCTGTATCGCCGCGCCCGGGGCTCTAGAGCGCAGACGCGGCAAGGGACGGAGGTGCCGGTCCGTCCAGCGAAAAGCGGGGAGAGGGGGGGACAAAAAAAAAAATCCGAAGACCTTCTCTCCACACCCAGGAGGAAACTAAAGTGCAGTCCCCTGAAAAAAAAACCCTCTCCCGAAGCCATTATAAACTTAATCCAGGTGGGATTGCAGGGATTGACCCCAGGTAAAGGTTTGATCCTCCGTGTTCATTAAAGATGTTGAAATATTTCTGCTGGGATGCAGTTAGGATTCCAAAGATCAGGAATCACACTGCTTCTGGTATGTTTAAGGAGACAAGAAGGGAGAACACTCCCAAGCGAAGATAAGCTCACCCACTGATCCCGAAATAAAGGGATATTCGCTTTAAAAATTAAAGGATATTTCTATAAAAGGGTATTTTGCTGATGGAGAAGGTTTTTCAATGAGCCTTCTGATCCCAACAGTTCTCTGGTGTGGTAAGAACTGGATTCTTATCTTTAAACCTGTGAAGATTTGTTTTACTCTGAATCATCATATTATCAGGGACAGAAACCCATATTCCATATTTTCATTCCAGAAAATGCTCACACCGGCTTGCGGATGGGGGGGGGGTCACCTCCTCTGACTAGCTGCGAGGTCTCCTTCGCTTTGGAAAAGGTTTGGCTGTGGATGCGGCAAGCTTCAAAATCCTGCCCTAATTATTGCCACACTCATTAATAACCTGTGACGACCCCTGGCAGCCTCCAGGTAGATCCAAACGGCAGGGGCCAGCGGGAGGCGCGAGACGTGCGTGGAGAGGGGAGCTCTCGCGAAGGGGGAGCTCGCGGCGGCCGCGTCCCGAACAGCAGAACCGGCGGCTGCAGACCCGGCGTGTAAAGGATCGGGCCGCGGCAAAGCCGGCCCGGGCGCGGCGCCGGGAAGCCGCGCAGGTTGCTCGGCGAGCAGAGCCGGCGGGAGCTCCCCGCAACCAGCCCGCGGCTGGAGAAGAGGCGCTTTTCTGCCTTCCAGTTCTCCCGCGGTTCCCGCAGAATCTGTTCCAGGGGTCCCCCTGCCCACTCGGGACCGGCACCCCGGGCACGGCGAGGCGCAGCCTCCTCCTCAGGTGGTTGCTTGGGTTTGTGGGGGGGCTGCTGAGCCTCGCCTTGCGCCTCTGTCAGCGAGAGCCCCCTCATGGTGGCATGGAAAAAATACAAGAGAATTTAAACTGTAACAGCTGGTGTTGGTGACTGTGACAGACCTGAATAATTAGAGGTTAATGGGGAATTATTCAGTGCACCAGAAGTGAGAGAGAAAATCAGCTTGATCAGACCCCATAGGGGTGGTTTATTGGAAGTGCCGATAAGGAATAACAGGAATTGCCACAGCCCCCATCTCTCAGTTTGGTCCCACCTGCCTGCACTGCTGCCCCTGGGAAGCGCTGCTCTTCCCAGCTGGAAAACCTAGAAACATTTCTTTTCTTACTTCCTAAAACCCCTCTCTGGAAACTTCTACTCTCCCATAATTCTCCTCAAACAGCGTCGTTTCTCCTTCTGTCTCTCCAGAAGTGGCATTGCTGCTCCCCGGCGTCTCCACAATTAATATAATTGATGCTGAGCCTCTCTGGGATGGTGAGAGGGTCCAGAGTGGGGTCAGGCCAGGGCTGGCCGTACCAGCACTGCCGCGCGCTGCAGTTGCTCATAGGACACGAACATGACCACATTCCAGGAGCCCAACCGCAGAAAGGATGGGATGAATCTGTGCCGGGAAAAGCAACACTGGAGAGGATGTACCAGGGACAATCCCCTCCCCAAAGCCCCGCTCGTGGGTTGGGATATCTGGAGTTCAGTGCCGCGTGGCCGCACGGCTGTCACGGCGAGTTTGTGGGTGTTCAGTGTGGTGTTCCCAACTCACCCCTTGTAGAGGCCGGCGAGGCCATCCTGCTTGAGCAGAGCCAGGAGGCAGCTCAGGGCATTCTGGTACTGCCCAGGGCTGGCGTTCATGTACCGTGTCTTCACCACATCTACTGGTGATGCCACCACCGTGGCGCAGAACCCAGCACCGAAGGCAGCCACGAAGTGGCATGGAACGTTGTCTAAAGGCAGGGAGGAGACAGGGTTGGATGTTATGGGGACAGGGAAGGCCCTGCCCGTGTCCCCCCTCATGGGATGTTGTCTAAAGGCAGGGAAGAGCCAAGGGTTGGATGTTGTTGGGACAGGGATGGCGCCTGGCTGCATCCCCTCTCATGTCATTGAGGATGTTGTGAGGACAAGGATAGCATCTGGCCGCATTCCCCTGTCACGGGACGTTGTCTAAACAGGGGGAAGAGCCAAGGGTTGGATGTTGTTGGGACAGAGAGGGCCCTGGCCATGTCATCCCTCACAGGATGTTGTCTAAAGGCAGGGAAGAGCTGGGGTTGGATGTTGTGGGGACAGGGAAGGCCGCAGCAGTGTCCCCCCATTCCATTCCCACCTGCCATGAGCCCCGTCCGCAGCAGCACATCCTTCAGGAGGTCGTAGGTGACGAGCTCCCCGCAGTTGATGATGGCATTGCGGGCAATGTTGGGCAGCGTTCCTGGGTAGGAGAGGGGGGGCATTGGGAATGGGGGTCACAGCTCCTCCTGGAGCACCCTGGACGGGTGCCCCAGCCCTGCTGTCCCCATCCTTGTCCCCTTCCTCTCCCCATTTCCATTTCCATTCCCATCCAATCCCTTCCCATCCCTTTCCCCCGTACCTCTCCAGAGCCCACGGACCCCTTCCTCCCTGGCGATGGTGCGATAGGCATCCACAGTGCCACTGTACCGGCGGGCCCCGTCCAGCTGTGCCCCGTTGGCTTGGAACCGGACCTTGACCACATCGGTGGGCTGGGCACAGGCCACAGCCACGGCCCCTGTGGTGCAGCCTGCCAGGAGCCGCGCAGCCAGGCCTGTGTCTGGAGAGGGCAGGTGCTGGGATCCCTGGCCCTGTGAGAACCCCAACCCCGTGGGGACCCCAGGGCAAGGGGGACCCTGGGCTGTGTGGGAACCCTGGACCTGCAGGGATCCTCAGCCCTGTGGGCACCCTGGGCTATGGGGGGACCCTGGGGCAAGTGGGGACCCCAGCGCTTCACCAAGGGTCATCTTGGGGGTTTGCGCCCCTCCAAGTGGATTGCTCACCCCACGGTGGGCTGTGCCCCTCCAGGGTAGGGTTGTGCATTGGGATGGGGGGGTGCAGGGATGTCTGGACCACCTGAACACTCACTCTCGGCACCCTTGGGGGTGTAGAGCTGCTTCACGGAGTCGTAGAGCCCAATGCGAATCGAGGCGAAGCTCATCTGGCGCTGCAGCCCGGCTGCCAACCCTCTGTACAGGCTGCGGGGTCCCTCTGTCCTCACCATGGTGCTCAGCGTCCCCAAGACACCCCGGTACTCCACAGAGCTGGTGGCCTGGGGGATCCTCACCTCGCCCTGGATCTGCAGGGTGCCAACCGTGTCACTGCGTCTTCCGTTCCCCTCCAAATGCCACCAGCTCTGGGGTGGAGCTGGCACAGGGAGTCCCACTGTCGCAGGGTGTTCCCTCTGCCCGTGGGATTTTGGGGGGCCCGGCGGGTCATACCTGCAGGCGCACTTTGGCGGTGTCCAGGGGGAAGGTGCAGAGGTCAGCGATGCATCCGGCCATCCCCGCGCTGACGAACTTCACGGCGGTGGTTGGGGGCACCTCGGGGGGCTTCAGACCCACCATGGTGGCAGAGGGGCTGGAGGGAGGGGAGGGGTTTGTGGGGGATCCAGGATGCTGCGACGGATGGGGCTTCACGCAGGTTTGGTGATGGAGGTGATGATGTGCCGGGGTGGTTTCTGCTGGCTTGGGACAACCCTAAAACCCATATCTGGCCCTGTTTCCTCGCTTGCATCCCCGGGGAAGTTGAGGCATGGGATTCACCCATTCCTTGCTCAGCATGGGAGTCACCCATTCCCACCCTCCCCTATCCCGCCCCAGCCATAATGGGGGTTGCTCAGTGAGAGCTTCTCCCGTGTCCCCCCCATGGCCTCACCGTAGGGACCTCAGCACCGCTTCTTGGCTCCTGCCTTGCTCAGGCAGCACTCTGAGAGCAACTCCTTGGCCCCACCCTTATATAGCACTCAGGATGACATTCCAGCAGCCACGGATTGGATCGGGTGACAGGGAAACTGAGTTCCCCCTGTGGCATTTGAGCTGATGGGAGTGGGGTCACCTGGTACCCATGACAGGGTTGTTGTTTCAACCCTCTGCCCACACTGAGGGCTCAGGCATGGGAAGCAGGGATCCTGCCCAAATCCCCAGCACCCGTTGGAGCAATGCTGTGGGGAAGCACCCAGCAATGTCAAGGTGGCCACTGGGACTGCAGGGATTGGGGAGGAATGTCAGGTTTTAACCTAAAAGTGCTCTAGGAAGAATGAGATGTAGAAAACGCCCAAAAAAACACCATCCCCACAACACCCTTCAGAGCATGGCTGGGCACTGGGGCTGAGGCTTCTGGGGAGGACAAGGCTCCAGACAAGAGGCTGGAGGCCAAGGTGGAGTGCAAAAATGCCCCTTTAACTCCAGTTTTAAAAACTTCATGTGTTTAACCCTTGGTGTTCCTCAGCACCACACTCACAAAGCCTGAAGGGATGGGCCACATCCCTCTGGATGTGCCAGGAACCTCCATGCTCACACCTGAGCTTGCCTTGCATAAGAGGGACTTTGAGTGGTCATGATGCCCTGAAACCACCTTTGCTCCATCCCTTGGGCTCCAGGAAAAAGCTGCCTGGCACTGACACCCTTTTCCAGTTGGCTCCTGCCCTTATTTTCCTGCCCGTCTGTGCCGCTGACCTAAACCCAAGAGGAAGGTGCTGTTTATCTCATGCCCGAGGGGTCAACACTTGTCACCTCCTCTGTGACAGTGTTCCCAGCCCAGCTGGCATCCTGCCTGGGTTTTTTTGGGAATGCAACTGGGAGAAAGCAGCCTGCAGGTCACTCCTGTCCCTGCAGGGGACACTGAGCATGTTTACCTCCCATCCTGACCCAGCAAGAGCAGGAGGCAAAGGGGCCGGGATCACAGGCAAGTTGTGCCAGCAGTGAATTAAACATTTAGGGTGTCCCCTGGGAAAAACAACACTACAGAGGGAGAAGGAAGTGGGGCTGCTGATCCTTTGGCTCCTTTAAACCCTGAATTCCATGTACGATTTGAAAAGCAGCTTGAATTGGGAGCAACTTGTCCCATGCAGCTGTGCTGCACAGTGATACTGAGTTCCTTGGCAAAGCAGTGACCCTTCCATGTGTTCCCAGCCAGCCCAGCTTCCAGCAGCATTTCTCCACCCTGGAAGCTTGTGGAAGAAGGAGTCCTATTCCCTTTTGAGGGGGACACTTCACACTAGCTGACAAGAAACCTCCAAGGGGAATTTTATTGAAACACAAACACTAGAAAGAGAGCAGTACAAAAATAACTGAGCTCTGTTGGCATCAAAGTCTGTTCTCCAAAAGGTGCAGGACATAAAAATATACAAAAATAATTTAGGATAAAAAAAATTCATCTTTCTAGTCCCCCCCCTTTTGTACACCCAGCAGTGTTTTACAGTGCCCTTGGCCTGTGTTCACACAAGCATTTTGGGCATCTCTAGAAGCTGCAAATTGTGCTGCCCACCAGCTATTCTTGAAAGGGTGATTTCACAGGAATACATCCCAAAATTAGACTATGTGGAGAGGTCATGGGTCACCCACAGGGGTGCGTCTCTTCGGGGACCTGCCCCTGCAAGACACACAGTCTTGCAGCTCCCTGTGGGTGATCAAAGGCTTTAAGCCCCTCTAATTAGGGGATGCAAATTAACCAACCAATTGGGCAAACTAAAAGCAGAGCCTGAAAGCTGTGGCTTTCACCTCCCCTCTACTGGAGGACCCAGAGGTTGGGATTGGGAAGCTCCGCTGTGGATGGTCTCTCATGAATGCTATTCCTTCTTGGAGAGCTGAGCTGAGAAGATCCTGGCAATTCTTTGGGCTTCCTCTTCTGAGAGGTTGGGTGTGGGCTTGGGATGATTTGGCCTTCGGTATGGGATCCCCCCTGGCACTGCTCCGCTCCTTCTCTCCTGTGGAGAGAAGGGATTAGGTGTGAGAACTCTGCCAGCATCTGGATTTGGGTTGTGGCAAACCACGGGGAAACCAGTTGAATACACAGGAAAAACCACCACAATGAGAAAGGTCCCAACCCTTTACTCTGACTTTGTGAAAGTCCATCCTCAGCTAAAGACTCCCTCTGTGAAGCCAAAGGAATGACACTGGTGTAGTCACTGGGATCTGACTCTCTAATTGGCTTTCAATTATTATTTCATTTCTTTAATTTGCAGAACCCTAAAGACCAAACCCCCTTGCAGTGGAGAGGCAATGCTCTGGCACAACAAATCCAAGCTGGCTGACAGGACAAGGCAGCGAATGGGTTTAAACTAAAAAAGGAGAGATTTAGATATTGGAGAGTGATTCTTCCCTGTGAGGGTGGGGAGGCCCTGGCACAGGTTGCCCAGAGAAGCTGTGGCTGCCCCTGGATCCCTGGAAGTGTCCAAGGCCAGGTTGGACAGGGCTTGGAGCAACCTGTTCTAACAGAAGGTGTAATGAGATGAGCCTTGAGGTCCTTTCCAACCCAAACATATGATTCCAGGACAAATGGGACAGTGTAATGGACTGATTAAACGATGGAGTCCGCTTCTCCATCGTCCCGAGCATGGAGCTAAAAGGCCTTGATGCCACAGCCGGGCGGCTGCAGGAGCCGAGCTACTTGCCAAAGCTCCAGGAGGCAAGCCAGCAGAGGCAGGCAGACGAGCAAAAAAAGATAAAAACTTGTTACAGTCAAGAACACGGCCAGGAGTTACTCTCCAAAATAAGGTATGCCAGGCAGATCTTGCTTGGAGACTGGGGAACCAGCCAATGGACACTCAGGGCCCACCTTGGTACCAGGTGACCTTTGCTGGGATACTGGTGAACTGGCCAGTGGGCATCCAAGGGCTACCATGGTGAGGGTATTTAGGGCCATGCCCCCTGCAGGGGCTGTTTGAGGACTGCTGTGGGAGCTGCTGCCACTGTTACTCTGCCAGTTCAGCTCCTTCCTAGGAGGCTACAAGGCAAGTAGGGAAGAAGACCAGCTTGCAAGCCAGTGGCACTTCATGGTGGTGGTAACTCCTGTTCCCTGTGCTTTTAACAGTTACCCTTAGCTTTTCCTACTTTTCTGTTTTCCTTCTTTCTCTCTGCTCTTTTGTGTTACAAAATAAAGTTGAATTATCGTTTTGGGATCCAGCATCTGGCCTCGTTTGTGCCTTAATCTCGCTTACAGGAATGTTTTAGAACCTGGTTTCCCTCTGCATCTAAGTGGATCAGAACAGCCAGGCTCAGCTGAAGGGACCCCAAAGGAGCATTCCTCAAGAGGAAAACCCCTGGATTAAGCAGTGTCACCTCCTCTGTGGTTTGTTGGCAGCCTCCCAGAAGCCTGGCTTTGTCCCAGATGTTCCTGTAGCACTAAAGACAGGTAATTTCAGCTACAAAGAAACTCATGTTTCTCCCCAGCGAGAGCCAGCTCATGCATATGAAGCACTGAGAAAGCCATGATCTGGCTTTGGGAGCCTTTAGAGGATGAAGCTGCGGGGCCAGGAAAGGCTCCTGGAAAGCTGATCCACCAGTCTGGCCTTTCACCTACATCACTGCTTCTCTGAGTCCCAGGAAAGGTCTTTTGAGGTGACCAGCTCCCTCCCAAGAGGGAGGGACCAGGATTCTGTTTCAGTGAGCTCCTCTCTGATGTTTAGAGGCAAATGGCTTTTTTAGGAACAAGCAAGTCCTTGTGTTTGGTTAACTGTACATTACAGGCTCAAGTGACAGTGTGCAGATAAATATACTTTAAAACACTTCCCATTTTATCACACTGAAATAACATACATGGATAATTAGGAGAATCTTTGCTTTGTTCTCATTTCTTCTTAACAATTCTCCAGGATGATTTTCCTAAAACAAAATGTCAGGAGCCAAGAGAGGTTAAATGCAGACCTGGCAACAGTGGAAGCTTAAAAATCAGCAGAGAGAGCTGCTCTCTGCAGAAAGCACCTCTCTTGGATAGTGCAGGACTGCAGAAAGCACCTCTCTTGGATAGTGCAGGACTGTCCAGAGAAGACCAAGTCAGTAGCTCATTCTTCCCACACTGTTTTCTGCCCATGTGTCCACAAACAGCCAAAACATCAGGAGCAGCTGGAGAGGGGCAGTAACCAGACTCAGTGCTGATCCTGGAGTTCATCACTATGCAGCTCTCTAGAAAATTCCACAAATCTACTAATTAACCCTGTTTCAGAGGTGCATGAAACTGCACTTCCCACCTCTCACAGTTCCCCTTTTCCATGTGCCACACATGTTGTCGTGCTCAGCCAGGGATGGAGAGCCAGCACCTCTTGTTTTGAAAGTGAGGAATAGAATCCCAGACTTGTTTGAATTGGAAGGGACCTTAAAGATCACCTTGTTCCAACCCCCTGCCATGGGCAGGGACACCTTCCACTAGACCAGGTTGCTCCAACCTGGCCTTGAACACTTCCAGGAATGGAAACCATGACACAGGAGCAGGTGTTTGATGCTATTTGACCTCACCAAGGTGAAGGAGAGCAGTTTGTTTGCTCCCGAAGTCAGTAAACAAGGTGTGCTCGAAAAACACATCACTAACACATTGTTTCAGATAGAAGGGGCTAAAATAGACCTCCTCCCATTTTCACACCTCCGTTCCAATGTGCAGGATGCAGAGGTGTTAGGATGTGTGTATCTATCCCAAGGATGTTCCTAAAAATGAACTTCCAGCTGTGGGAAAGGTTTAGCAGCTCTCCTTGCTGCTTTTCTACACGTACAGGCATGAATCAAAGTGAGAGAGGTTTAAAAGCACTGTTAACACTCCCAGCTCGCACAGATAACCAGAGTCATGGATCATGCAATTGCTGAGGTTGGAAAAGATGCAAAAGATCATCGAGTCCAGCCATTCCCCATCATTGCCAAAGCCACCACTAACCCATGTCCCCAAGTGCCACATCCACAAGGGACTCCAGCCTGTGCCAGTGCTGGACAACACTTTTAGGGAAAGAATTTTCCCAATATCCAACCTAAACCTACCCTGGCGCAACTTGAGGCCATTTCCTCTTGTCCTGTCCCTTGTTCCCTGGGAGCAGAGCCCAACCCCCACCTGGCTCCATCCTCCTGTCAGGGAGTTGGAAAGAGCAAGAAGGTTCCCTCCCAGCGTCCTTTTCTCCAGGCTGAATTCCCCCCCAGTTCCCCTGTTCCCGGTGCTCCAGACTCTTCCCCAGCTCCATTGCTCTTTTTTTGGACATCAAACCTCCCTTTTGATCCACCAAACAGGCAGTTTCTACTCATCAGTTTTCACCTCCTGCATATTTTCCAGAGCACACATCCAAAATGTTGTGTTTACACCACTCCTCACCCCAGGAAAAGGCTCATCCAGACTCCGAACTGAGCACACACAGAGCCCATCCCAGGATTCTCCCTCTCTCTCTCTCTCTCTCAGACTTCAAGTGTCTGGTGCTCAGGCAGGAAGCTCCCACATTCCATTGGGAAAGGGATTGTGCACTGAGGATCACGCTTCACTTTTCTTTTTATAGGAATGGCAGTGACACTGACACCAGCTGAGGATTATCCAGGGGCTGGATTAAAGCAAACAGATCCATGAGCATTTTATAGGTCATGGAGAGGGTAGGGTTTGGAGCCAGGGAATATTTCAGGACTGTGGCTCAGCAGGTTTGCTGGTGGTTGTTTGTGCCCAGGGATGAAGGAGAGCAAACACGTGTGTTAACAGGCTACAACCTCCCCTGGGAGTTGCACCTATTCCTGCTTTCCAAGCAGGAAATCAAGTAGACCCAGCAGATCAAGAAGACACAACACAACCAAAAAAGGATGTTTCGGCTGTTGCTGCCATGGACATTTTTAGAACATATAAAACCTGTTATTGTGAATTTGCTCAAGGCTGTGTCTAATTCCCACTGAAGGTAAATCTATCTATATACAAATAAGAATTTTTCTAAGTAAAACTGGTTTTTTTATCCTTTTGGAATATTCCTAGAGGTGAGGGGGGAAAGAAATAAAAAATATTTGGAGTGGGACTTTTGACAAGGGCTTGGAGTGACAGGACAAGAGGGGATGGCTTCCTCCTGCCAGAGGGCAGGGTTAGATGGGATATTGGGAAGAAATTCTTCCTGAGGGTGGTGAAGCACTGGCACAGTTTGCTCAGAGAAGCTGTGGCTGCCCCATTCCCGAAAGTGTTCAAGGCTGGACAGGGCTTGGAGCAACCTGTTCTAGTGGAAGGTGTCCCTGCTCAAGGCAGGGGGTGAGACTGGATGAGCTTTAAGGTCTCTTCCAACCCAAACCACTCTGGGATTCCATGATTCTTTTTTAGGCTGTTTGTTGATCACTCCCAGATAAGATGATGCATTGATTTCCCTCTGTATGACCTACAAAACAAACACTCTAAGGAACCCTTATGTCACTGGAAACAGTGTCCTTGACGAATCAGAACAGAATAAGGCAGGATCTAATAGCTCTGAACTCATGGAACCCTGTGGTTTAACACTAATACCAGTTTTATTTGAATTCCCTCTCTGGGCAGTTCTCAGCTGAGTGGCTGGAAATACAGCCCTGAAAATGATTAATAATTAGATAGACTATTAGCAAGGCACTATTTGGATATAGCTAATCTCAAACCAGCCTCATTCCAGGATTAGCTGCAGCACTTGTAGGGTCTGCTGAGACAGGACTCTGTTGTGCCTCGTGCTCCATCAAACACCCTGTGTGAAGAAAATTTGCTGCTGCCAATGGTAAAACAGAGTTCACCAAAACTGCTTTCTCATAGTTTTCATTCTAAGTGGCCTTGGGAACATTAGTTTCTAAACCTGGGTGTTTGGTTTCTGCACAGTTCAGCCAACACTGAGCGTGACAGCATGGCTGCAACCCGAGCTGTTCTCTGAAGATCACCAGACTCCTCTCGCTCACATGGCAGCTGGCAAACATCTCTCCTGGCTTTTCCAGTGCTCCTGCCACCCCTCTCTGGCTTGTCTGACTCCCTGCTTTCCCAGTCTTCCCTCACAGATTGATGAAGCAGTGGTGAGGTGGGATGGCTGGCAGCATTTTGAGACAAAAATGCTGTCTCATCTCCTGCTGTGAGGATGTGGGGACCTCAGGAGGTGCTGTGGCAGCTCAGGCCTCAGCCTGGATCTGTGACCACCTTCCAGGGGTCTGAGTTTTGCAGAGCCTCATGAAACCCAGATTTTTTTTTTACTCTTTTTCTCCGTCAGACTCAGGCTTCCAGTTCTTGAGATCCTTCTCTTCCACACACTGCTCTGAGAGGGGGCATGAGGATGGATTTTAAAAATGAGAGAGTTAATAAACTTTTCTGTAAAATCATAGACTCACTAAATGTTTTGGGTTGGAAGTGACCTTAAAGCTCATGTCCTTCCAACCCCCCTGTCATAGGCAGGGACACCTCCCACTAGACCAGGTTGCTCCAAGGCCCATCCAACCTGGCCTTGAACGCTTCCAGGGCTGGGGCAGCCACAGCTTCTCTGGGCAACCTGTGCCAGGGCCTCACCACCCTGACAGCAAAGAATTTCCTCCTAATATGCAACCTAAATCTCTCCTCTTCTAGTCTAAAACTGTTCCCCCTTATCCCATCACTATCTCCCTGTGTAAGAAGTCGCTTTCCCTCTTTTTTATGAAAAGTACTGAAAATAAGATTAATATGTAGACCTCAAAATGACTGAGCCACAAACCTCTTGCAGTAAATAAATATTTATGCACATAAAAAAGTGAACCTCAGTAAAACACAGTTTTGCTGCAGGAGGAACAATCATGCCAGTTATTCTGCTATTACCTGTGTCGCAGAACAGTTACTTGATGCCTCTCCAGGAAAGCCTCTCCTGCTGCAAATTCCCTCATTTCATCCTGATGAGCACAGACAACACACCTATGAACACTGAACATTAAAAATGATCCTGACAGAGAGAAAAGGGATCAGGAAGATTCTCCTTGACATGATTTGGAAGCCACCACCTCTAAGCCAAGCGCTTGCAGGCAAAAGAAGAGAGAAGTACTTCTGTTCCTGCTTTAAGGAATGGACTTAAGTTTGACAGTGAAGGAAATGGCATCCCATACTTACTTTCAGAACCATGGAAGGATGAGAAGAAGTGCTGAGCAGTCTCATGGAGGCTTCCATCTCCTGGGGCGGGAGGAAGAAGTTCGGAACAATGACAGGATCAGATCTGAGCAGAGCTGTTAAGGAACAACCTTTGGCAGTGAGTAGTTGCACACAGCTCCAGATGTGCAATAAGCTTGTTAATGGATCCCAGACAGTGAATCTCATTCATTTAAATCAATATTCTATTGTTCTGAATGCCTGGTTCTCTCACAGAGCATGGAACACCGACCTGATTTACAGCAGTACCTCACAAATCTGTAGAGCACTTCATCCTGCAAAAATTCCAAGAATGCTTAGTGGAACTGAGTGCAAGATTTGGGATCTGTGCAAGAAACGTTGGGAAGTATCTTAAAAGCAAAATAAATCACATTTCTTTTCACACAGAAGAAACACAAGAGCTCTTTTACATGGAGAAAAACAACATGGGGAAAAATGCAAGAAGACACATTGGAATTACAAGATTACAAGATCACAAAATATACTGGTTAAAAGCTTCAAGAGAGTTATCACTACATTGTGTGAAACACAAGTAACAGGGTCTTCATTTCCAGGGAAGAGCTCCACATAGTGAATTTCTCTTTCCCGAGGCCAGGGACTGTCTAAGTAAGCAGGAAGACACGCTCTGGGAATGCAAGGAGTGTTTAAGGAAAGAGTAAAAAGGATACAAAGTGATTTTTGGTTTGATGGAGTTTTCTGACCCTTCCAGTGGGTCTTCACTGGCGTCATCAGGAAAACTCTCACTGTTTCTTTCCGAGCCAGCTTGGGTTGATACACTCCTAACACAATTCTCATCAGAGCCACTTCCTTCCTTGTCACGATGCTCTTCATTTAAATCCTCTGCGTTTTCCTCCTCCTCTCTCCCTCTGGTTTTTGGGTTGATCAAATCCATGTCTCCCGGGAACGGCAGTAATTCCTTGGAGCCTGCATGGACCTCGACATTCTTCTTTCTGGGTTCAGAGTTAAATGCTCTGTCCCAGAGGCTCCGTCCAGCAGGTTGAAGGGGCTCCTTCTCTGCTGTTTCCATGCCGCTGTTGAAGCTTTGGAAGCCTTCCGTTGCTTCCCAAGGACTCTTGCCATTCCCACCAGCATGGGGGCTCGTGGATGGGCTCAGGGCGGTGAGCTCGCTCTGGTTGTCCCCTTGCAGGATGCTGGTGCTGCTGTTTTCCCTTTGGAAACAACCCACATCCATGGAGTGCTGATCTCCAGGCCTGGAGTCCACGGAATGCTGCTCAGCCCCCTGCCCAGTTTCAGAGATCATACTGGACCAGGGACTCATCCTGTCTGTTACGGTTGTTATTTCATTGAGAGTTTGTGGCTCTATAACATCTTCCTCATATTCCTCTTCACTGTGTGGCTGGATGTCAAAAGCACCTTCATCGTCCTGGATATAATCCACTGGATGCTCATCTTCAGGGACAATGGGGTCTAGGAGTTTGTGCAACATGTGTCTCTCAAACACAGGTCTCCCAGAATTGCACGGCTGCTGTGGATCGCTGGAAATTCTGGGCGGGTCCAAGTCCAGCCGGCCTTGATGGACTTCGAGTCTGGCTCCTTCCTCCTTCCAGCTGGATGCATCCACAGCACCTGGCTTCCTGCTGCTGTCTGGATGCACATTAGAAGCTTCTTTGCTATTTTTAGTTATGGTCTGTAAGTCTGGTTAACAAAAAACAGCATCAGTGAATGCATGGAGAAACAATTCAGCTTACAATTGATTTATTTTGGCTTTCTCCAGATAATCCCAATGAAAAAGGCAAAATACTGGCTCCAGGGAGACTTTAGAGCCCCTTCCAGTGCCTAAAGGGGCTCCAAGAGAGCTGGAGAAGGACTTTGGACAAGGGTATGGAGTGACAGGACAAGGGGGAATAACTTTCCATTGTCAGAGGGCAGGGTTAGACGGGATATTGAGAAGAAATTCTTGGCTGTGAGGGTGGTGAGGCCCTGGCACAGGTTGCCCAGAGAAGCTCTGGCTGCCCCAGCCCTGGAAGTGTTCAAGGCCAGGTTGGATGGGCCTTGGAGCAACCTGGTCTAGTGGGAGGTGTCCCTGACTATGGCAGAGGGTAGAAGAACTGGATCATCTTTAAGGTCCCTTCCAACCCAAACCTTCTGTGATTCTATAATTCTATGATTCTATTGGTATTTTGGAGTGGTTAAATCCAGTTTGGACAGTTCACAGCACATGAGAAGGAAAAAGAAATAATCTAGACAGGAAAGGTGGGCAGGATAATCTTTCCACCTTTCCATTCCACAGGTTCCCCAGTTTTGTGCACACAGTTGTTACTGATATTTTCCAGCTTCCAGTCGAATTTCCCAACTTGGATCAAATGATAGACAACTGTTAATGAAATATTTGTAACACAGGAATTCACTGTTGCTCAGCTGTGGTGGTAAAATTGTCAGGGCTGCAAACAGCAGGGCTGTGTTTCCTAACACAGACCCTGAAAAAGGGGATTGGAATTAATTAAATCTATGCAATCCTGAGAATCTCTAGGGATTTTACAAATTCCTTAAAAAGCCACAATCACGTTTTTTTTTTGGCTCCTAGTGAGCAAATCCTATTCACAGCTCGCAGTGTTAGGTAAAATCGTAAACAATTCCGAGGCAAGTCCTGCTCCAAGGGAATGGTGGAGGACATTTGGGAAAGGAGAAGGAAGAGTCTGAGGCAGATTGTAGAGAAAAGCATGTAAAGAAGCAGAAAATCAATTACTAAGGATAAGAAGGGAAATAAAAAGAGCAAAACTTGAAGAATAAAGAGAAAAAAAATAAAAGAGAAGTTTAGGTGGTGATACAAGAACAGCAAATCCTGGCATAAAAGGGATGTGCCCTTTAACTCCATCTCTTGGAAGGGCTGCTTCCCTGTAGGGAGCCACTGGCAGAAAAAGCATGGAGTAACTTTTCCACTGGCAGCAATTGTAGCTCTGAGCTACAGTTCATTCTCTATTCTGATAAATTATTTTAAAAGCATCAGCTCTTAAATTGATTTCCATGTCATTTTGCTACTCACAGCAACAACTTACCATTGATTAGACTGCTGACCTGAGACACCAACTGACTGGATTTTTCCAAAAGATGGCATCCTTTGGGATCCACTTCTCTGCTCATGGAGCCATGATGGTCCCTCTCCTGCTCCTTATGGCTTGGTTTGGATGTGTTGCCGTAACTGAAGTCAGGAAAAGACCTGGTCAGCTTCTGGCTGAAGTATCTTTGAACCTCATCCAGCTCATTCAAGTTTCTTCTGGAAGCAGTGGTAAGAAATTTGGTAAGAATGGGATAAAAAAGCCTGTGGTGAATGGGTTTTAATTGTATCTTTCCAGTCAACAGCATGTAAATATGCAAATACAAGATTAAAGGTTATTGAAAAATAGATCAGTAGGTAAATGTTGAGATTGCTCTAAGTAAGAGGATAACACTCATGAACAAATCCTGAATTAGCCATGAAACTTGGGCTGGAAGTTAAAAAAAGAGCTAGTTTTAAACTTATTTAATCAAAGCAGTTGGATTTGAGATGACCTTCCAACAAGTCATAAAGTCAAGAATATTAATTGATTTTGTGTCTGAGCTTGATAAAAATCTGAGGATTCCTACCTGCATAAGATCCAAGGATTTTAAGATATATTGCTTGTGGTAGCAGGGGAAGAGATCAAACACCTCAGAAAGTCTCTTTCAGTCCTACAGACTTTAATACTCTTCTAAATTTATACCTGATTTAAACCTAGAATACAGTCAGAAGAAAAGTGCTTCTAGCAAATAGAAATGCATCCTGTTGGGAAAGAATAACCTGCTCCACACACCATAAAAACGCTTACAGGTTATCTTTGTAAACCAGTTCAGTGGACTGTTGTCTTCATGGCACGTGTTGTGTGACAGGACAGATAAATCCAGGCACTCTCTCCTGATTTGGAAACACTGCTAATGCTGTTTCACTCCAGTCCTTCGAAATTGGATCCTTCACTTCCAAGCTCTGCTCTGCAAACCCAAGGCTTGGCACTCCCTTGTAATTTTACCTGAGGGCAGTGAGGAGACCGGCACGCGATGACGGTGACGCCGAGTCCAGCCTTGCTGCCCGCCGCGTGTTCCCCTCCTGCTGCAGGGATTCGTGGAACCTGCGCACATTCTGCATGTGCTCTTCATGACGAGGCGTGTGTGTTCCAGGCGCACTAATCCTGCTAAAAACAGCCCTATGTTCAACGCCAAAAACCAGGTTGAAATC